GGGGGGGGATTGTACGAGTAGGTTAACGAATAGTGGTTGTGATGGCTGTGGAAGCAGGGATGTGGCAGTAAGTGGCTGTGCTGATTGTTTTATGTCTGGAGCAAGGTCTGGCCCAAAGTACTAGTTGAGCTAATTTGGTCATGATTGGTTTGATGCTTGTATGTTTGTGGAAGTAGAATCACTCCCAATGTGTACATTTAAGTGCTTCTGGTTCTTGATGTTAGAGTGTCTTAATCATGATTCTGGCTGTTTGGAAATGTGTTTATATAGTCATATGCTCTTCTGTATAAAGCTGAATAAGTTTCTGTGTTCTTAGTTATTTACTTGCTCTAGTGAGAGTGTTACAGTCAAATATATGAAAGCCAGGTAGTAACAATAATCATTTGAGGAAGACTAACTAAATTGACAGATTCTCATGGCATTAGGAGAAAAGCATACCGATGACCTCTTGACCGCACATCACGACTTAATGATGCATAATTTATTTTAACGGTTTGACTCTTATTCTTTACCCAAGTATAATTTTACTTTGAGAAGCTCGATATATATCAAAGGTCAAAAAGATTCATAACGTGGCAAAGTGGAATCATTGTCATTCAGCACAACGTGGTCCTACACACTTTACAAAGTGGGAATTGGGATGTTGTAAGCATTTGCTAACTTTGTCACACAGCCGATTGGTATAGTAAAACTTGCTATTCATTTCCTGATGTATATTAAAAATAGCAAAATTTTATCCACTCATTTTAGCTGGAATTATGTATATGTATACATTGTTAAAAATTGAAAACATTATATGGGTGGTTCTCTATGTTCGAACCATTGACCTAAATCCTAAATCTACATGTCTATGAAAGAGAGTAAAAACGCAGACAAAGGATAAAGCATAAGGCATCCAAGGAGTTAGTTCAGACAACTGTATTTGACCATTCCAAATGAGTATTTTCCGCAAAGAAAAATATGTTTCATGAGTTAGTTGAGGTATCATTTCCCAATTTCCAAAATATTCTGTCATCTCTTCTATTCCAAATTATATGCTTCTCCTTAATTTTGCCGTCAGCACAAAGAACAAGAGGCAAGAGAGAACAAAAAAAAACCACTCAAAAATTTATCTAAGAATGGCCCTTACCTAAAAGTTGATACGACTTTAATACTGATCACACAAAGTGGTGCTCCCTCAAAAGAATCAGGTCTCAAGTCTGAACATGTTCCTGCTCTGTTCCTATGGCTTTTGAATTCCTTGGAATTGAAAAACCTGTCTCTTTTTTGTTCTAAATTTATATGGATTTGCTAATTTACTAAATGAAAATCATAGTGAGTTGATCTCCAAAAAGAAAAAACAACTTGTGTGTGAGCTGGGTATAGCTTTTATTAACCAATTAAAGTTCTGTTAGTCATTTGAATTCAGATTGTGTAAAGTAAATCCAACTCTGAGTTCTTCTGAAGGTTGATTTTCGTATGGATTTTTCTCTCCAGAAACTTGCTGCGTCAAATTGAAGGTATGTTTTCCTGCATCTACTCCTTTTGAGGATTTACCTTGCGATCTGCATTTTTTTCCTTTTGTGCTTTATTGGTGTTAAGAGTATGAATTTAGTCCTTTGATTCAGTCACGATCTATCGTGACGTGATCTACTGTGATGTGATGTTCATCAATGCACTGTGATCCACTCTGCAGGAGTTTCTCATGACTCTACTTTTCTATAACTTAAGGCCCATAAGCTTCTAGTATTATCTTACATAATATTACTACTTGATCCCTCCTCCCCAAAAAGATGGGGGTATTTGCTCAGAGAAGGGTTAACTTCAGTGAATCAGGACATGGAATTCTTCATTTTTTAAAAATAAAATTTATGCAATTAGGATTTAAATAAAAATAATATGAGTTACAATTTATAGTTAAAATTGTTATAGAAGGGGAAAAAATGTCAAACAAATTGAGATAAGGAGTATTTATCATCAGCTTGGAGTTAGAGGTGTTATAGATGAAAGAAGTGTTTCCATCTGATTTAGCAATGACAGCATATATATCTAAACACGTTCAGAAATTCTCAACATTCTAGATTTTGAAGGATTGAAGTATCACAGGTTTCATAGAAGGAGATAACTAGTTAGATTGTTTTATGGTCAGCACCCGTGAAAATAAGTGGAAGATCTGATGGATTGAAAAGGATCCCACTCCCTTCTTGGGTACATGGTTTGCGAAAGAGGTACTTGTGATGCTACTGAAGTGTCTTGTTACCATCCAATAAGTGTCACAACTCACAACCTTTCTGTAGATCGGCTATGTAAACAATTTCCACAATGTTGTGACATGTGTGATTTGTCTCTCCTCATTCAAATAAATCAGAGATTCTTAGTTGTAGTTGAGGGAATAGAAACCTTTATATTTGTGCATCCAGAATCTAACCTTTCCCAGTTAATTCTATAAGCCAGTTCTTTTGGGATTGAGTAATTCCACAGCTTTAACATTGTCTTTCTGAAAGCTAAGAGGGAATCAGTTTTAGATGGAGCTTGTATGAGTAAATCTTCTGTGAGCCTTATCTGTGGGTCGTCATAGTGGTCTTTATTGTAGATGTTGGAGTAGATGATTAAAAGACGGAAGGATCGTGGAGTTTTTTTTCCAGAAATTCTGTAGCCTAATCTGCCAAAAGCTGGTTTTTGTTTATATAGAAGAAAACATCCTTCCTGAATTTGATCTTTTTGTCCTTCAGCTTAGAGAATATGAAATCATGAAATCTCTCTAAGCTATTTTATGATTCTGTTCCCAAGAGAAGACATTATTGATTGACAAATTCAACTATGACTCTTTTTCTCGGGAATCAGCTATTAGTGTAGAAGATTTTTGAGGCAAACATGTAACAGGTTTTGTTTCATGTCTTTTGTAACAAAGCTATCACAATTCTCTGGCAAATGGATGTGGATTTTGAGAGGTTTCATAAGAACCGGAATTAAAAAAAACTGACTCTTTTGCCATTACATATTCACAAGATAACTTGGGAGATCTATTTGAACGCTAGACATATATTAATCCTTGTTCCATCCCCGACTTTTGAGCAGGTCAACATTTTGCCATCTATACATGGTAATATTCATTAAGCGTATATATACTTGACTCTACATAACCATAACTGCAGTCAGTCTAAATCTTACTTCCACGGACACTGATTAAGTGATTATTCTTTCCACTAGCATCATTTACTTTAATGTACAATTAGATATTTCAGAAGAAATTTCTGGGTTCAACTTATGAATCTCCCCTTATGTTGACTATAACAAAGTCGCAACCTTAGTAGAATCGAATAGTAAGCACGCAAAGTGTTTTTTCACAATGGCCATAAACAATTGCTTCTGAGGATGGCAAAAAAACACTTAGCTGATCAGATTTACTATATTTTCAACAACCTGGATTGGCAGAATGATCTGCGTCATTTCCCGACTTTGTTTTTATTAATATTATAACTCCTAGTTTGTTGGTAGCAGACTTGTTTGATAGCTAGACCACTATCTCCCGTCTAACTCACCTTCAGCAACTCAAATTTTTTATATTTCTTATTTCTGATCAAAGGATTGGCATCTTTTACTGTAAATCCTAGCTATTTTAGCACGATATTGGAAATCTTATTGCTATTACTCAAACAAGCATGAAACTTCTGGGGGTTTCAACAGATGAACGGCTAACTAGATCTGATTTGTCAGATCAACATCAAAGGCATTTGCAGTGGCAGCATCTGTTGTAACTTTCGGGTTTGGTAAGGGGAGCAGTTCATAGAGCTTATAGATGCTTATTTGACTGTACTGATACTGCAGACTCTTCCATTGTTCTTTCTTGCTGCAAGCCTTGGCTAGATAACATCATTGTGATTCACGATATACAGAACTTTAGTGTTAGTAATGTTTTATCAGGATATTCAGATCTCTAGTTTTAGTAATGTTTTATCTGGATATTCAGAACTCTACTTGTTGCCAACAATGTTATCCATTTTGTCACTTACTCATTCAGAAGGAAATAACTGTTGAGACTCTTCATAAAATACACTCTCCATAAGACAAGCAGCTAATCTTCTCGACTCTCAAATTGGTTCTTTACAAAATGTGATCGTCATTGTAGGAGAAAATAGTTGATGGATAATTAGATAACAGTTAATGCCCTTGTTTTTAGGCATATTCTAATGCTTTTGTTAGGTACTTGATGCTATCAGTTGCTACCAACTAGCTGTTGCAAGATCTCTAGTGTATAATAATCTTTGTTGAGATAGGCAGCCACTCAATCGACGCCTAATCTTCCATAAGGGCATCAGACATTTGTATTTACAGTGTTGCCTATGGGGATGACATCTCTTTCTGTAAATCCTAGCAGTTTTAGCGCTTCCCCTCTTTCTGAACGATTAAATATCACTATGAAAGAGTCAAGAGTTGCAAATTTCTGATGCAAGAATATCGCAACAGGATCCTTTTGCATAGGCATAGCAAGCTTCATATTATCTGTTTCCCTTGAGAAGAACTTATTGAATCTTCGTTAGTGATGTTTTACCAGCGTGCCTCGTAATTTTGAGTTTTAATTTATCAGTTGGATCTTGTGGCCTTTGAATCAGTTCCTGGAGCTGTCACCTCATCCTCTAATATTGTCAATTACTTGGTTCATGAGGTGAAAAGCATTTGCCTTCTCTTTGATTGATTCATTTGAGGTCGCTATCCGCTTTAATGAAATATTTGATTGATTTGGCTGTTTCAAATTTGTGCTAATTTTTTTTCCATGTGGCCCAATTAAGGTAGAAATGGTATTCCTTTCAGCAGAGATAGGATAGGGAACAATCTCAAAGCAAAAGCTGTAGAGAAATAACAAGCTTTCAAATAGAAGAGCCAAACGAGAGATTTCTTCATCTTTGGGTCAATAGAGACTACAACTTTTTTTCGCAAACTCAGTCATGTCTTCACTGTACAAGTTACTCCTATCCTCCCTAACCACTGAAAATCAGCAGGTGGTTTTCTGTATACAAGCAAAAAATAAACCCGAATATTTGTTGTCAGTCCCCATTTGTAACATCCTACCACTACTCTGTAGTTAACTAAAACCTCTCAATTCCTAATCTTGAGCTAGTCATACTTCCAAAAAGCCAAACCCAGCCAAACTATGATCATCTTCTGAGCTGCTGCAAAAACAGATGTACAAAAACCAGCCAAAGTAAAAACCTAATACAAAACACCATATTCACTATTCAATTGACCTAAAACCCTGCAGCACCGAGATTTCTTTCTCAAACCCATAAATGGCTTATATCTCTTTTGTTTCAACATAAGGTGACTGTACACTATCCTCATCAGACTCACTCTCAGACGAACTTCCTGAATCTGAATCTGCAAATTACCATGGCAAGAGTAAATAATACATCAAACTAATTTACCAAAATGAATGAAAAAGAAAGAATATCAGAATTTTACCACTGGAAGAAGAATCACTGCCAGAACTTGAGCTACTAGCACTGCTTGACCCACTACTTGCACATGGGGCATCCTTCTCGATCTGCACAGGAGGAAAGTTTTCAACTGGTATTTCCTCACCGATATCAACATCCTCTTCCCCAATGTCCCCCTTCTTGTTTTTCAGCATTGCATGCTCTGGTGTTGGTGCCTTCTCAGGCGACTTAAATCACAGAACCAACAGGGTGATCAGAAAATGAGGCATCATAATATAGATTAGTTAACAAATGTATTAAAACTCCAAATGCTATGCTTACCTTGTTGAGCTGTGTGGCAACAACATCTTCAGTGATTTCTTGTCTCTGCATTGCGCTCAGAGCCTTCTTATGGTAACTTACAAATCTATCCAGTTCCCATAGCGTTTCATTGTCAAGGACCTCGAAGTCAAGCTCAATCTCGTCATCTTCCTGTGCCACATTAGGGTTCCTCCTCTTCACAATTTGCACCACATGACCCATCTTCTCTGGTGGAAGATTCTGCAAGTTAACCCCTAACTTTGCCTTCTCCTCAAAGGTCATCTGTCTTTTGTTTGGATCCTTGGCCTTAGGTTTGGGCAATTTAGCTGGGCGAGGCATAATGACAGGCTGCACTGCAGGGGGTACAAAAAATGGTGCAGGTGGTGTTCTCAAATTCTGTTCTTGAAATTGGTGTTGATTCAACAATGTGGAATGCAAGCACTCAGGGTCTGATCTTTTTGTAACCGGCAATGGTTCACATAACACATTTGGTGGCAGAATTAGTGCAGGCTGGGACAGATTCTTCTGGCGATTTACCTGCATAATAGTTGCAACCTTCTGATGCTCAGCTTCATACTTTTTGTAAGCTGGTTTAAACATCTCTTCAAAATCAACTAGGAACCTTTCAGCCATAGCATGGACATCCTGGCCTTTAGGGTTATAAGTCATGGCATTGTTGAAAGTCAGTCTCACATCAGCCGCAAAATCTTGTGGGGTTCTGTACTCATTCCTGTCCAGCCTTAATTTCACAGTTCCGAGATCCATAGGGTGCTTTATGATATCAAAATAATCATTAAGTCCCAGGCTCTTAACATCCACTGGTGTATTAAACACCCAGCCATTCTTATGCTTCATTAATTTCGTCAATATCTGCCGGCACTTCCTCATCATAGTTACAAAAAACTTATCCCCTTCGACCACTGGTTGCCGCTTAGGTTCTTTCCCCGATGCTAACGCCGCTAAAGCTCGCTTTTGTCCAGAGAGCTTCTTACTTTTGCTCTTTCCACCAGGTTTCTGATGATGCGGGAGCAATGCCGGTTGGTTCTGCTGAAGCTCTGGCGCTGCCGTCGGCTGTACGACTTCTCTGGACGTCCTGGAGACGAAATCATGGGATTCAATCCTGTTCAGAACGCCCCGGACCCGATTTAGATCAGAGATTAGCCGCTTCTTGAGGTCCTTCAACTCTCTTCTCGAATAAGAAGCCAAATTGAAAGTCACGTACCCTCTGTGAAACGAGTCGTTAAGATCATGAACAGCATTTGGTTTCCAACTGAACGGCGGCACATTAGTGTTAGCCGTTTCCACCGCCAGCGACGGAACAGTCCTAGGCGATGGCTCATTGCTTTGCCGGAGGTGAGGTAAGGCTGAAACATTTTGGACTTGTCTTCTAAGGTTAAAATTGGGGTTAGGGTTAGGGTTAGGGTTGAACCGGCTGTTGAGCTGAGAATGAGCAGTGGAATTACTTGTATATTTCCTCATATAAACATCCCAGTGCGCTTCATTTCTGCTGGGTAAAACGGCCGATGCCATAGAAGTTTACAGGTTTCATATAAGGATTTTCGAAACTCCGACGACTAATCCCCGGCGAGGAAGTGGCGGGAGCCCATCATTTCACCGGGAAATTCAATTGCCGCCGGCCGGAAGATTAAAAGTGAGAAACTATAGGGAATTATTCNACCCTCTCTTTAACCTGAACGAGTAAAAATGTTAAGGCCACGATCTCCTCTTAAAGGCAACAAAATCTGCCCCCTTTCTGTTTAGGGCAGTTTTTGCGCCCTCGATTCTCAATCAGACGGTTGAGAATTTTATATATATGCTGCCCGGCGTACTAACCTTGCCATCTGTCACGGACGGCTTAGATTTACGTTACGTACACGTGGAGAGAGATAAAGGCTATTGAGGGAACTGTGTTTTCCTTCTGGTGGGAAAAGTAAATTTTGGTTCGGGAATTTGGTTTCAATATTTCTGAAGATTGGCAAAAAATGGAGCCTTACAAGTCGGACGTGATGACGTATTATTGTGGGACCTATTGGACCATCGAAAATATCTATTGGGATGTGCGGTGATGTAGCGGAATTTTCTACCTGCCTCGACTAGAATCAGAGGATTATCTTTTCTTTCTTTCGTTGCCAGGTCACCACCGTTATTGATGCTAAAAGTTTAGTTCACATGTGCATTTTCATGATTATATACTCCTTTTGTGAAAGGAAGAAGAAGGAAAGACTATTAGATGGTTGCTCGGCTGACTATATTGGCAAATATGAGCATAGAACTTTCCTAGAAAATTAGTTGTTTACAAAAGTGTGCTCCATATATTTTAGCTTTAAGAGATGCTAAGGATAATTTTATCTTTAATTATGTAATATATGCATTAATAAAAAGATATAGATGCCATTAAAATAAGGCTAAATACATAAGTTACCCCCTGAATTATGAACCAAATCCCCTAGACACACTTTTTGCGGGCGAAAATTATTTTACACACTTAATCTTTTCAAAGTTTAGCGAATACACACCACTTTTATTTTGACCACTTTTTTTTAAGGTGCATATCACGCACCAATAAGATTGCAACACGTGTAATTATTTTTCTTAAAAATTAAAAATGCTTAAAAGTACAATTCTACCCCCTAATTACCAAAAAAATCCAATTTCTCCATCTTCATCATCTCTCTGGACCATGGGTGACTCCGCCACCAACACCACCAAGACCTTTAAAAACACTAATTTATCCTAGCAATTCATCTCTGTACCAAATACAAGTTGATCTCCATTAGCCAAAACTGCAATGAAGACCCCTTGAACCACCACAAAAAGCTATGAACAAAAACTCATAAAAATACGGAGAAAATAACCCAGAAATTGACACAACTCATAAGGGGTATAACAGGACTATATGATAGAGCAATAAACAAACACACAACAACAATTTTTGTAAAAAATAGAAACGTTATCACAAAGATGTGAAAATCACAATTCAAAATTCAAGAATTTTAGCTAATTGCCAAAACCACAAACAAAATCAACAAAATCATTATTCAACTTCTGCCACCCCCTGATTACGATTCCATTTTAACTAATAAAATCATTGTTAACGTCTGATTTAAGAAAAATTTAGTGAGGAGTAGGTGGTAACAGTGGAATCACTGGTGTAGAATGTGGCTATGGAGTAGCTATTGGGAAAAATGAAAAGGAAAGGGATTTGAGTGAAAGACTAGGGGAGGTAAAAGAAGAGAAAATTAAGTAAGGAAGAGTAAGACATGAAAGTTGTGGCAGA